AACAACAACAACAACAACAGCAACAGCAACAGTCCTGCTGCAGCTGTTCCACGGCGAGGATTTAAATCCTAGTTTTCTGTTAAATAAAAACCTAGTTTCATTTATAGAAGTCAGGAGACGGTGACTTAACAACAACAACAACAACAACAGCAACAGCAACAGTCCTGCTGCAGCTGTTCCACGGCGAGGATTTAAATCCTAGTTTTCTGTTAAATAAAAACCTAGTTTCATTTATAGAAGTCAGGAGACGGTGACTTTCTTCCACCATCATGAAGAAGGAGCGTTGCCATAGTAACGAACCAGGTTTGTGTTTCAGTGTTTACCTCTGCAGTAACTGGAGCTAATGACAAATAACGTCTAAATCCTTCAGACTCACGTTGAGATTCCAGCAAAGTTTGGTGACCTTTCTGGAATCTTGACGTTAAACGACACCAGGTCAGAAACAAGACAAACAGCATTTGACCTATAACCTTTCAAGGTGCCCCTTCCTGCCACCACCTGGTCCACACCAGTCTTAATGGTCGTGCCCATGGTATGGCGGCAGCTGCATTTTCCCAGCAGACCACAGGACACCGTGACCCTGGTTGTTCAGCTCACATTTATTGTTAAGAAGTGTTAAGAGTCCTGTTTCTGACCACGACGTCAGTCCAGACGTCTGGACTGACCACGACGTCAGTCCATACGTCTGGACTCGGACTCTGTCCATACGTCTGGGTCGTGCATTAGTAGCAGCATCAGGGAGGTAAAGTGGAGACATCCATCAGCAGTCGTATTAGTTTGGCTAAAGACGTGCTTTAACTCTGAGATGTCCTGGAGGAGCAGTCGTTCACAGTAAACAGACGTCTGTGTCTGTGAGCATAATGGTCCGGGCAAGGACGAGCTGAAGTCACGGAGACGGAGTCGTCCACTGACGCGTCCTCCAGACCAAAGACAGAACCATGAAATACAATGTTAGAAACTCTCATTAAATCATCAGGCGACAAATGCTAAACAATGCTAAACAATGCTAATGAAATGGTTTCTCTGCAGAGGCTAAAATGAAACAAAGCAGTAAAATCTGTTTGATGGAGATGTTTTGGCTTCTAAGTCTAAAGAATATATATATATATTTAATATATATATATATAACCCAGTATATATGGGATGATCTAAGTAGGTGAAGTATTTCTCAGCTGAGACATCTATCCTGCTTGGTCAAACACAAAGTTGTGTGATTGTTTATGTACTTTAGTACACTATTTTACTAAAGAATATATTATTACACAGTATTTTATTACACAGTATTATATTACACATCATTTTACGTCAATATGTGTCGACACCATGTTGATCTCCGCTCCGCCCTCAGCCCTGATGAATAATAGGACGATAAAGTCTTTAACGATCCAGTAGAATTGATCAGATGTTGACGCTGCGTCTGCTCAGCAATAAAGTCCTTCCCCGAGTGCTGAGCCAGAGTCAGGTGATCCAGTCAGGTGACGACTAACAGAATCACAGGTGCCACCTACGCAGCGCTGGTCCAGTGACTTCCTAATGGGATTTCTGTGACTCCTGATTGTTTTGTTGTTTTGATCAGAGCCCAGACTTCAGAGGAGTTCAAACCGTTCACCTGGTGTAACATCAAAGGCGTCACAAACAGCTGTTGTTCAGTTGTGGTCCAATCAGCTGTGGCAGCCATTTTGTTTTTTCTAGGTAAAACAAAGACATGATTCTTCTAGAAGTTTCGACCTGAACTAGAGAAACTGCAGAGAGAAAGTTTTTAAAGTTTTTGTTTCATAACAATCAAAAAGGAAGATTTACTGACTAAAAACTGACAGTGAGTCTTGACATAAAAGAAGACCAGAGTCGTCCGTCCTTCGTCTTCACGTCCCAGCTGACGTCAACAGATGTTTGAACCTTCTACGAACTGTAACAGGAACAAGTGGAACTCGTTAGACAGTTTCATTAAAAACGACTAATGAAGTCAATGAATCCACAAATTACTGTACGCAACGTTTGTTGGCTGAGCCAGCCACCCACAACAACAGACTGAACCACACTGAACCACAACAACAGACTGAACCCCAGACTGAACCACAACAACAGACTGAACCACAGAAAGAACCACAACAACAACAGACTGAACCACAGACTGAACCACAGACTGAACCACAACAACAGACTGAACCACACTGAACCACAACAACAGACTGAACCCCAGACTGAACCACAACAACAGACTGAACCCCAGACTGAACCACAACAACAGACAGAACTACAGACTTAACTACAACAACAAGAGACTGAACTACAGACTGAACCACAACAACAGACTGAACCAGACTGAACCACAACAACAGACAGAACTACAGACTTAACTACAACAACAAGAGACTGAACTACAGACTGAACCACAACAACAGACTGAACCACAGACTGAACCACAGTCACAGCTCAACTGTGTAACCTATGGACGTTTGTGTTGTATGTGTTTAAACAGTTGACGAACATCAAATCCAACGAACATCAAAAAACAAAACAGCAACAAACAAACGAACCAGTTCAAGAGAAACAACGTGTAGACAGTGGACAGCTGAGAGGACCTGTCAACACTGGAGTCACTGGAGTCACTGCAGTCACTGGAGTCACTGGAGTCACTGCAGTCACTGGAGTCACTGGAGTCACTGCAGTCACTGGAGTCACTGGAGTCACTGCAGTCACTGGAGTCACTGCAGTCACTGGAGTCACTGCAGTCACTGGAGTCACTGCAGTCACTGGAGTCACTGCAGTCACTGCAGCAGTCTTACCTTTGTTTCTTTGAAGTCCTTCTCCTGAACTCTTCTCAACAGTAGAAGTGAATCCTGGATCTGGACACACCAACGGTCCAATGAGGTCACATGACCCACCTGCACCTGTCACATGTTCACCTCACCAATCACACACACCTGCTACGATTCAGTCACACACACACACACACAGAGAGAGAGAGAGAAAGTCGTGGACGAATGTCGTCGTCGTCTTTGTTTAGTTTAGTGAATGTTGGTGAAGGAGTTTTTTTTTTCTTTAAATCTAAATACGTTGTCAAATGACTGATATTTTAAAAATGTTTTTCTGCCATGAAAATAGAATAAGTTATAAATCAGTCAACTTTGTTCCATTTCTCCTAATTTAGTTTGAAATGACCAAAACAGAAAGAGCAGTGAACTACAAAGAGCGTTTATCAAAGCGTGCCCTTCATGTTGGACGGACTTCGTCGGACGACACGCGGTCGGTTGAAGGAGCGTTTATATTCTTGACACAATCTTTTTATAAACTAATTAAATTTCACTCCAAGTTTGGGATTAATGGAGCACGGATCACGGGGTCCGTCCCACACAGAGCCTTTATTGTCCTGTATGAAGCGATGTGTAAAGACCCTAAAAAACCCCCGCCCCAATGTTGGATCAATGCCCGCTCTGTTTGGCAAACGCTTCTGAATTAGTCAGGGTTTCAAGGGATTTGGAAAGTGGAAATCTGTGGATGTTACAAAAACTAGATGTGAACGACCTTACAGTAAAAAGGTCAAGGGTTTGATCCCTGGAACAAACTGATGACCTTTCAGTTTTCTCCAGGTGTGTTTCCTCACACAGTCCAAAAACGTGCAGATTAGAACAACTGATCGCTAGTCGACTGCGAACATTTGTATAAAATATTAAAAAAATTCACAAGTAGCAGGAGTGATTTCTTTCTTTTTTCTCTCTAAGAAAATCATACGTCATCACTTACATCATCGTCATCAAAAAACACTGGTTTAATTTCAAAATGAAAAACAAAAATGGTTTCACTAATTTACAAGTCAGTTTGAAGAATTTTACTCTGCTCACAACTTTGTCTAAATCACGGATGTAAAGAGTAGCTTTGTAAGGTGCTATGCTGCCCCCAGTGGCCGAAGCAGACATAATTCCATCGTCTTATTGTGTCGTCGGCCACACGGCTCCGTCTGAGACTTTATTTCCTAATATTTGTGAGATTCAACCGTTTAAAAAGAGATAAATTTTGATTTTCAGACCATCAACGACACTGGATACAAACACGGAACGAATGTTGACGACACGTCAGGTCACGTTTTTCATGAACTGTTGATAAAATAAACCACTCAGTGAGAACGTACTTTTCTGTCATCTTTATTCTGTTCTTTAGTTCAGTGTCTGTGGCCGCA